CTCTCTCTCTCTCTCTCTCTCTCTCTCTCTCTCTCTATCTATCTATCTATCTATCTATCTATCTATCTATCTATCTATCTATCTATTTATCTATCTATCTATCTATCTCAGTCTCTCTTTCTCTCTTTCTCTCTCTCTCTCTCTCTCTCTCTCTCTCTCTCTCTCTCTCTCTCTCTCTCTCTCTCTCTCTCTCTCTCTCTCTCTCTCTCTCTCTCTCTCTCTCTCTCTCTCTCTCTCTTTCTTTCTCTCTGATTTTTTGCTTTCCACTCGCTGTCACTAGTTGATCCTAGTTCACCGTGTGTCATGTACTTTCATGTGCCAGGACAGAGGGTTATCCATAATTTTTGCCAAGGCCTTGACTTATTCTATTCTGATTTTCTGTTAACACTCCGATCAGTTGTTGCGAGAAACCGACCGAAAACGATTGTGCACGGAAGTGTACTACTGCTCTGTAGTTTGGGGCCCTTGAAATCCTAAAAATGCTATGTCTTTTAAAGGGGTCGCTGCCCCCTCGACTCCCTGGCATTGAACACCTCAGACACTGCTTCTGATTTCTACCAACCGAAAAGTGGCAGCCCTCTGCTACTATTCTGTTTGGTAAGCTACCACCGTCCATTGCACTTGCTTCCTCTATTACCTGATTATATTCAGTCTCCATACCAGAAGCACGAGTATATATAAGAGTATACAATGTATACATGTAAGCTCCTGGGAGCTTATTTACGTTTGCCAGAAGTTGTAATGGTCGTTTTGCCTTCTTGCCCATTCAATAATTATGTGAAGTATCGTAAGTTTGTTGTTACTAGTACTTCAAAGTACGCAAGTCAAATTGAAAATGTTTTCGTGATATGATATTGCAAGAGTAGTGTACTCTTGGACCTAGATTAGAGAGGAAACACATTTCGTACTTCCTCCTCCTCCTCATCGAATTTGGTGCAGTTTGACTAGTGACTTGTCACTTGTTACTGACAACTCCATAAGCTAAACCATACAAAAATTGTTACATAGAATGATAGTCTGGAGTCTAGAGTAACGTTCCAGGACAGTCGGATTGAGGGTTTCACACGGAGACGAAGACCTCGTCGTCGCTGATGCCAAAGGACGAAAAAATACCGTTCCTGAAATTTTCCAGGAAGGTTGTAAGTTGGTCGCGCCTCATCTCAACCGCTTTGACAAGAGCTGCTATGCTTGTCGTCTGCTAGCACTGGATGATTTCTACTTCACCACCAACGCAGTAAGAATACACGATCGTTGCGAGGTCAGTTGATTACCGTCGGCGGAATCACCTCGATCTTGAAACGAACTTTTTTTTAGCCGTGGGATGCCCGTTCATTTTACCTGTGTGGTCACTACTTTTTCAGGTAAGTGTACTATCACGTCGAGAGTGCACTCTTTTTCAGCATCACTGGTACAGTACCTGCACGTGCATCACTAGCACTACAGTCTCACTACAGTGTACACGCAGGGTATTCACGGCCCTCTCAGGTACTGAGTGTCTCAGCATTCCTTGCATGAATGCAAGAGCGATACATTTTATCGCTCTTGCATGCATTAGTTTGCTGACCCCTCGATGTTTCTCCATGCGCTGCCGCTTGTTCCACAAAGTCATTCTCACCCCAGCTCAGGTAAAACAGTGATGAGTTTTCGAGTGAATGGCCATAAGCGCGAGAAATGTGCAGGCTGCAACGCCTGACTGTCAGATCTCAGTGAGTCGAAAGTACCATCGCAGCGACATCAGCGAAGAAGTTGCGTCTAGTTCAAAATGTTCAGTTTCCAACAACAGAAAATAGAACTTTGCCGTCACCCCATACTGATGACTATCGTCTATGTCCGATTCCTTACCTGTGATACGATTGCTGGCGAGCGTTTACCCCGTTTATATCAAAAGTTAAACTGCGACAATTTCGATGACGCAGAGGAAGTACTCCAAAGGGAGGGGTATGTTTGAGATCGGGTACTTCAACGCCTCATGGTTGCTCCATCCTACAGAGCAGGTCCTGCACTCGTGGTTGCTCCATCCTACAGAGCAGGTCCTGCACTCATGGTTGCTCCATCCTACAGAGCAGGTCCTACAGAGCAGGTCCTACAAAGCAGGTCGTACAGAGCAGGTCCTACATTTTCCCTCCACTCGGTAAAGCATGGTTTAAAAAAATAGCACTTTAAAAATCAAGATATCAACCATCCATGCGTCACAAAAATGTTTATGGACTCTTGATCACTTGCTTAGGATCACGCATTATTTGGTTTTTTTGGGAACGGGTTGGAGCACCCCCCCCCCCCCCCCCTCATTCCGGAACCTGCGTACTACGCCTCTGAGACCACCTGGTAGCAGAGACGCGTTGTGTACGTCCCTTGAGCGGTCGTCTTAGCCAGGTTTGACTGTACATCAATCTATAACAATGCACACAAACAAACAAATGGAAATACAGCGGCGATGACGCTGGATACCAGCCATTACTGCGCAAAGTCTCTTGCATAGCCGCGTGACAGGGAGCGTAAAGTCTCTTGGATAGCCGCGTGACAGGGAGCGTAAAGTCTCTTGCATAGCCGCGTGACAGGGAGCGTAAAGTCTCTTGCATAGCCGCGTGACAGGGAGCGTAAAGTCTCTTGCATAGCCGCGTGATGACAAGGAATAGTAAAAGGATTGACAGCAGAAAATCTCATCACTGCGCCATTGAACTCCCTCCCTGCCCATCACTGCGCCATTGAACTCCCTCCCTGCCCATCACTGCGCCATTGAACTCCCTCCCTGCCCATCACTGCGCCATCACTGCGCCGTTGAACTCCCTCCCTGCCCATCACTGCGCCATTGAACTCCCTCCCTGCCCATCACTGCGCCGTTGAACTCCCTCCCTGCCCATCACTGCGCCATTGAACTCCCTCCCTGCCCATCACTGCGCCATTGAACTCCCTCCCTGCCCATCACTGCAACAGTGACCCATAGCGCACCCTCCCTGCCCACCACTCCGACATTGACCCATGGAACTCCCTCCCTGCCCATCACTGCGACATTGACCCATGGAACTCCTTCCTGCCCATCACTCCGACATTGACCCATAGCGCACCCTCCCTGCCCTTTACTGCGACGTAGACCCATAGCGCACCCTCCCTGCCCATCACTCCGACATTGACCCATTGAACTCCCTCCCTGCCCATCACTGCGCCATTGAACTCCCTCCCTGCCCATCACTGCAACAGCGACCCATAGCGCACCCTCCCTGCCCACCACTCCGACATTGACCCATGGAATTCCCTCCCTGCCCATCACTCCGACATTGACCCATAGCGCACCCTCCCTGCCCTTTACTGCGACGTAGACCCATAGCGCACCCTCCCTGCCCATCACTCCGACATTGACCCGTGCAACTCCCTCCCTGCCTATCTCATGCAGGTGTCCTCGCACTTGAAATACATTCAAAGGTTCAATTGGACTGTGAATCAGCATGTATGCAGCTCGTAGTGGTCTTGGGCACACACACATACCTGTTTTGATGAAAGCTGTATACCGCAAGTAACATATGTACAATGCTTTTGTTATTCCTTTCTTCTGCTTTTCCTTCCTTTCCTCTGTTCTCTTCTTTTCATTTCTCTCTGCTGCTTCCTCTTTTCCTCTCTTCACTCTTTCGTCAGTGCGCGGGCTTGGCAATGAAGCCAGAGACAGTCTGTCGGCTGAGCTGGGTGCACCCCACTGGCACAGCCACCATGGGCCATGGTGGCTGAGCTGGGTGCACCCCGCTTGCACAGCCACCATGGGCCATGGTGGCCCTACCATATTATGTGGCTGCTCTTTCCTGCTTCCTGTCAAATTCTTCCTTGGTAGGGTTGTGCTCAATGTAAAAAAAGGAGAAAAAAAGATGTCGTTAGGTCTATTTCACAGATAGTACCGCACGAAATCAGCCACCATGACCCATGGTGGCCCCTACCTTTTCATGTTGCTTCTCTGTCCTGCTTCCTGTCAAATTTCATTTGACACTCTCCTTTCACTCCTATTATCTGTTTGATTATTTTGCTATTTTCTGCTGTGTTCCAAAATTAGATCCTCTCCTTCGTTCTAAATCTTCAATTTTCTCCCGTGCTTTTTCCCCCTCATGCTTTTGCTTCCCTCCCTAATTTGGTGCGCCTGCCATGTGAAGATGCCGAGACCTCTGGTCGGTTGAGCATGGCAAGCTCCACCAGCACCATCTCACCCCCTGCTAGCCTTATGTGCCTGCTGGTGAGTTGTGTATTTTGTAAAAAAAAAAAAAAAAATAAAAAAACCTTGGTAGGGTTGTGCCCAAGCCTCAATGGCATAACAAGTGAAACAAATTAAGTATTGTATTGTATTGTATTTATTTAAAAGGATTCTCCAAAAGCAAATGGGTGCTTATCACGGAAGTCTCCTACACAAAAGTAAGGGGCCATCCAGCATTATCGATAATTTTCACGAAACGAAAAAAAGTTGTTAGGGTTATTTCACAGATAGTGCTCCACGTGGATTTGTTGTGCTCTTCATGATTTCCAACGAAATCCACAGATTGCACCCACAGACTGCACCCCGCGTGAATTTGCTGTGGTCTTCAGGTTTTCGAAGCAATCCACAGATTGCACGGACCACGTACGTGAAGCTTGCGCCACACACACGCACTTGCGCGTGTTCAAGGAAGTCTCAGCGTGGCTCTAGCGCCCAGGGACGCGGATTTACCGTGCCTGGTCTCGTGCCACGAATATGTCTGTGGCACCCCAGAATGCGCAAGCAACGTGCAATTCTCGGGTTGCGCAAATTCCCGAAATGTGCGGAACGTGTGCAGTGAAACCTGTGACCAACGACCAACCCTTCCTAGGGTCCAGAGAAAGCGGTCTTTAGTGGCAGGTGGTCCTTAGTTAGTGGTTTGCACCGCACAACCATAATTGTATGAATGTGAGACCTCCGTGCCTGGCGAGGGAGGTGCACGCACATGTGTTTCCAGGTATGTTAGCCGCTCTCACTGACTGACATCCTCTCCCTCTGTGTATGATCACAGCACCGTCCACACCGACAACAACAACAGCAACACCAACGCCATCAAGCGTCGGCGGATCCCACCAGTCATACAGCGGGGCCAAGTAGCGGTGGTAGTTCAGGCAGCAGCAGCGTCGCTGGGGGCAGCTCATCAACAGGCACCTCTTCGCACTCGTCGGGATGGCAGCAGGTCACTCGCGGGGGCTCCAGTCGGAACGCCCGTGACGTGTTGCCTGCCATGCCCGTCCTGAATACATCCGCCAATGGTGAGCCTGGGGACTCAATTGTTTAATATGAATGCAGAAAGCTGGCATCCTGTCTTTTCCCTCCTCATCCTGTCTTTGTGCGCACACGCTTGCACTCAGCCAGAGTAGTGTGCAGTTCTTTCGGAGGCGGCGTGCTGCTTCGAGTGCAGCTCGTCTCATAAAGCGAGGGCTCAAGCAGCTCGGAAGCGAGGCTAGGCCGCTAGCGCTGGCAGCAGCTGGCTCGTGAGGATCCGCTGTAAAGCCCCATGCACTCTCGGGTTGCCGTGCAATAGGCTCGAGCAATTGGCGCAAGCAGCGGGTGGTCTTCAGCGCAGGGCGGGATTTGCCGAAATACTGTTCTGATTCCAACTATGCATTGTGCCCTTGTACCCGGACTGAGGGGAGAACAGAGAGCAGATACGCTGTTACTTTTGCTCAACATCCAGGTCAGCGCACCTTCGTCAACACACTGGGGGTTTCCTCACACACGCACACACACGAGCGAATCACCATACGTTTACTCCACTCCGGAGTAGAGCGCAATAATTATTTACTCTGCGTCTCTTGAACGTAAGCGGCATATAACAAGGAAACGTAGGAAGTATAAGAACTTGTAGGACACAGAACGTAACACTCTGTGGACTCAATCGCGTCCTCAATGCTGAAGTAGTGCAGCGAAAACTGTTCAGCTGGAGCTCCGTCGTCCACACTATTGCCGGCAGGGCTAGAGAGATGGTGAATCATGCGAAGCTTGCCATTCTTCTTCGGCACTGCGCCGGCACCAGAGCAGCGCACGGAAGGGAGTCAGACTGCGCACTTCATGCACCGGCAGTTTTGCAACGCTAGCAAGAAGGAGGCAGCAGCTGATCAGAAATGCAAGAGGCACATGCAAACTCCAGCTGGACACAAATCTATTTCATTCCTTGGTGCTGACCGCTTTAATGCGCTTCCCGAATCCCTTCGCACAAATCATATCCCCAATTCATTTCGCCAGGAACTTAACAAACTCGTTCATCTTGGGCACCCTGTAAGAAGACCTTAGGGTCTGTTGGGAATGCCCAAGTAAAAATAATAAAATACAATACAATACAAAAAATATGTGCAGCAGAAGATGGCAGGTTAGCAGGGAGGACAGGAATATCGGGTGAAGCAGTAAAGCCTATGTGAAAACTATAGACCAGCCCGTTTTGGCACATAAGAAGCAGTATCTCTGCACAATTCGTCCGCCATGTACAATACTGTACAAAATTTCGGCACCTATTCAATTTCGGGTATATCCGGCCCCGACCCCAAACGCCGAAAAAAATTTTTTAAAATGATGAAATGTTTTCACATCGGCTTTGGTGATGTGCTAGTATTACAGTCTATTCATTGGAAACTGGCACCCTAACTTTTTGGCGTCTCCCACGCATAATTGTAGATATCGTGAAAACAACAGTACATCCTGCATTGTATGACCCGTGCAATTACTCCTTGCCACATCTGAGGCCTGAAAAGTCCAAGAACAGGGAAATAGAAATTCAGCCAGGTTTTTCGGACAGATATGCCACGGCGAAATGTATGGAGAAGCAGATCCCAAACCCAGGTTTTTGAGATTTGAAGTGGGTTTTTGATCCTCCATTCGGCCCAAATCGGACTTTCAAAAGTAGGCCTCGGCGGGTAATGCTAGTTATTTCAGCTCAAAATGCTTTTAGCATTGCTAGTTATTCGGTCATATAATGCTCGTTAGAATGCTAATTTGGACTTGTAATCCTAGTTGAAAAGGCATTGTGAACCACTCATATGGCATTGTGTCATAATGTAAGTCACACTGCATGGAATACTGCTATTGGAAGTACCTAGTACTTTGAAAGTAGATTATATGGTGATGCTATTTCAAAATGATGTAGAACTGAAGTTGCTATCATGACCTAGCAGTGAATAACAGTAAATCAGAACCCTACATCGACAGTCTTCAAAGTACTTTGAGGGTGCATACGGAATGCTATTTTGGAAATTTAGTATTGTGTGTGGTATGAAAAAGTACAATATAAGTCAACGTATCACTTCGTGGAATGAGTCAATCAGCACAGTGGGCAACTAGTGCATGAGTATAGGTAATCGGTCCAGACACCAAGACTTGGTGATTCATTGCAGCAATCCATTAGCAACACAATGGGGCATAATACTGGCACCCAGTGAACACACTGTCACAATAGTAGGAATGTTACTAACCCTCGATACGCTTGCTCCTTTGGCTTTGGGCAGTCGTGCGCATGCCTCACCGGGCTCATCCTCCACCTCTGCCTCGTTCTCGTCTTCCTTATTATCCTCCTCTGTCTCGTACTCATCTTCCTCACTCTCTTCCTCCGAAGAATCAGAGACTTCCAACACATTTCCATTTGATGTACTCATGGTGCAAGCAAGCCAGCACTGCATGACTCTGTGAATAGGAAAGACAAGGTTTCTTTCCGTTTCCCATGATGGCATCAACGTGGTACGTCTATACCTAGCAGCTGCCACTAAGATTCGCAACAAGAGACGCATGTTGCGAAGTCGCAGGCTAACGTTTAAGCAAAACTGCCAAAAGTCGCTGGTACAAAGTACAGTGTGCACGTTACATTGTAGAGCTCCTGTTTTATTCAGTAATGCACACTCATGAAGTGAGAAAATGACACTTTTGGGCGCTAATGCTTGTTTTGGCTCCAAATCCGGGTACAATGCTGGTGCATTGCTAGTTCTCAAAACGATGCTCGTAATGCCAGTTACAATGCTAGCATTACCCGCCGAGGCCTATTCAAAAGCCAGCAGGACTGTTTTCGATGAATGGACTTTAGTACTACTCCGCGCTGAAAATAAATCGCTGCTGAAATGTCAAAAATCGTGAAGAGAGCTTTTTCAAGGACGCCTTTCCCGCCACCGCCCCGACGATCACCCCGAGATTGTGGTGAATAGGTCGCATGTCAAAATGCATTGAAAAGCGAAGACGCTTTTACGAATAGGTTAGACCTAGCTAGGAGGAGACGAACGCAGCCTCGGGTGGTGCCACCTGACGTACGCCACTTTTAAAACGACTGTAAAATGATCGGGGCACGGCTGGGTCAAGAAAAATAGAATGTGCCAGGGCTCAGGACAGTTACGGCAACGTTTTCAAGTTGGGGTATATGGGTGTATTTTTTTGTTGGTAAGCACAGCTCACACATCTGTGGCCTTTGAAATTATAATTTGTATAAGGCCTACAGGGCGTCTCGCTCTTCAGGAATGGCGAGTAGCCAATGATGAATTTTGCGGCTAAATTTGGAAATTATGCGGGTTAGAAATGGAATAAATGTTTTGTTTTTTTTTAAGAGAAGAAAACACATGAGAACGAGTTATTACGAGTTGTTATGAGTTATTACAGTCGTGGACAGTTGCTGCATAACCCGTTCTCATGTGTTTTCTTCTCTTTTTTACATTTATTACTGGCTCAGCAGAGTATCCGAGCTAAGAAATCAGGAATATCTTTGGAATGGTTAAAATCACATTCTCAACTTTGGGAACACGTAGTACAGGCCCTGTAGATGGCATGAAATACCAAAATATGATTGGAATGAATAAAGGTTGAAGCATGCACTCTAAAAAATTGTAGCTTAGGATGAGGATACAGTATTCCTGCCAATTTGGAAATTTCAAATATTTTTGGCACGAAGACGGAGAGTTTGCCCAAGGTTTCATTTGACTTTTCAGGAGGGAGTTAATCTATAGAAGAATTTACCATTTTGGGGGTCACCATGCATTTTATCTCTTTCGCAGGAAATAACATGTTCGAGATTGCTTATTGTTTACTGCATATTATTATACCTGCCTGAATCATGCTTGCGCGGACTACATCATTAAAATAAGGTAATGGTTGAATTCCGCTGTGTCAGCAATCATCAGAGAGCTGCACACTCCGGTTTTATGAACTCTTGGTACACCTCATCAACATAGTCAGTTTCTAAAAACTACAATTTCAATCAGGATTTTGCTTAGGCTTGCTTCAACCACGGTGAATGGTTTCACTAAATCGTTGGTGTGTGCGTGTGAGTGTATGTGTGCGTGCGTGTGTGGGTATGTATGTGCGTGCGTTTGCGTGTGTGTGTGTGTGTGTGTGTGTGTGTGCGTTTGCGCCTGTGTGTGTGTGTGTGTGTGTGTGTGTGTGTGTGTTTGCGTGTGCGTGCGTTTGCGTGTGTGTGTGTGTGCATGTTTGTGTGTGTGTGTGTGTTTGCGCGTGTGTGTGTGTACGTGTGTGTGTGTGTGTTTGCGCGTGTGTGTGTGTGTGTGTGTGTGTGTGTGTGTGTGTGTGTGCGTGCATGCGTACGTCCACCTGCACCCATGTGGCCACCATGGCGGAATGTCAGCAGCAATGCAGGTCAGCGCCAGCTCGGGCAGCGGTGCAAGCGGTGCAATGAGCGGTGCAGCTAGTGGTAGCACTGCCACCAGCAACACGACGCCAGCGGCCGGAAAGCCGCGTGAGATTGTGCCCGGTGTGTTGCTCACTAGCACAGTTCTACCGTCAACCAACAGCACAACGCGTACTATCACCCTGAGTATCACCAACACTCTGGTCGGTCGCATCATCGGCAAGGCTGGCCACAAGATCAACGCCATCACGGAGCAATCCGGTATGTACGTATGCTGCTGCGATGATGGTGGTATCAGGATGTTTTAAAGTGTGCGTGAGCTGTGGGAACTTGTAAGTTAAATGCATGACACGGTGCGCCAGATGTCTACCAGATGCACATGCTCAACTGGTGCGCATCCACCCTCATGTATGTATGTGTGCGTGTGCGCGCGCGTGTGTGTGTGTGTGTGCGTGTGTGCGTGTATGTGCGTGTGTGTGTGTGTGTGTGTGTGTGTGTGTGTGTGTGTGTGTGTGTGTGTGTGTGTGCCAATGCAAAGGAGGGGGCGTTAGTCAGCCATGGCAAGAAAAGGAAAAAGGAAGAGAAAAGGAAAGAACATAATAATCGGAAGAAACGAACCCATCAGCGGGGTGAAATGTATCACTATGTTGACCATGGTGAATAGTGGTGAGATAAGCCAGCAAAAGAGGCGAGTGAGCCTACAACTTGGCATGACATTTAACATGGTCTATGAACTGTCTAATATTGGATATTATCTTCATGTCCATGGGCAGCTTGAGCCAATACGAATATGCAGAAAAGATAGGGGATTTGGTAAACATAGTTGACAAAGCTCTGGGAAGTACTATGCCATTGCGAGTGTCCCGTGCGAAAGTAAACCAATTGTACTTGCTGAGATGTTCAGGGACAATGCTCAGTTTAATACGACGGACCAGACCGCATGACTGTCTCTGCGACAGGATACAGATGGGGTATCGTTAGTGATATTGTAGCGATATCTACTGCACTATGTACGCGCGCACACACACACACACACACACACACACACACACACACACACACACACACACACACACACACACACACACACGTGTTTAAGGTGCTAGAATGCAAGGACAGGAACACCTGTACCTAGCAACCACCCCCTTGGTGCCAGAAAACGCGGTCTTTAGTTAGAGGTTTGCACCGCACGACCATATATGGATCCCATTACTGTAAAAGCAGAAATTTTCGGTGGTGTTTTATTTTCGGTAACTTCGGTGCCGACAATTTCTACCGAAAATAAAACGCACCGAAATTTTCGGTACAACCGGTACTGTATACATGTAGTACTACCACTTACTAGTACCTGGAAAACGGGTTTTACCGAAAATTTCCCTCCACCGAACTGCCGATTTTGGAGAAGACCGTAAATATTACACCACCGAAAATGTCTGCTTTTACAGTACATTTGAACAAACGGCGAGGAGACAACAATTTGATAACTGCAATCAGTAATACAAGCTGGATCGACATTTGTGTACACTGTCGATCCAGCTTGTATTACTGATTGCGGTTTACAGTATAATATTATTGTTAAATTATCGACTAAAATTAACACTACGCGGTGTGCAGACGTCTAGACCCCTGTCGCAGTACGATTTCCTGGCCTTCTTCGTGCAGACTTGCACGATACTACTTCCGAAGACTGTAACTCGCGTCTTAGGCTGCGTTTGCACGACGACGCCGGGGGTGATAACTTACTGAAAAAAGGCAACCAAATCCTTTCGGATGAGTGCTTCATGTACACAGTGTGCGGAGCAAAACGGAAAAGTCGCACACCAAAACGGAAGAAAACCAAAACGCCGGCCAAGGTGGAAGAATTTGAAAACGGAATTGTTCTGCCGGATAAATTTGGATGTGTGAACAGTCAAAATAGTGTGCTGGGCCTCGTTTCCGTAACATTTGTTTCGTTTTCGCCCGTTCACACGGATCCGATAATCAATTCTTTTTTTTACAATGTTCATCATGTGGGGAGTGTTGTCATGTGGCCTGTTTTCAACTGTTACTAGTACTTGAGTGTGAGTGGTGCTTCCACGACAACGCGTTGCACATGATGAACTTTGGCGGATCCTTTGCTCCCGTGTAGACGCGCGAAAACAATAGGAACGGAGACCACCTCAGATCAGCTTTGATCGTGTAAGCGCACGAAAACGAAAAAAAGAAAAGAAGACTGAAAACGGAAAACTGGCCGTGCGTTGTCGTATAAACGCAGCCTTAGTTTCAACCAGACTCAACGTCTTCAAAAACAACAATCCAAAAGAAAACCAGAAAGCCACGTGTCATCAACAAAAAGGATCGCGCATAAAGGGCTGCGATCAAAATGGCGATCGGCTGGTCGCAGTAGTGCAATGATGACACCGCTAGAATACTGATATGCGTGCGTGCATGCATATGTGCGTGCATACGTGTGTGTGTGTGTGTGTGTGGGTGTGCCGGCCCAAGTGTTCAACAATCCGTCAGCTCCCGGTATCGGAGCAGCCTGGGTCAGTACAGTGCCCAACATGCAACTGATGGCCACTTAGCAGAGGAGGCTTTGTGGTGCATAAGTGCCGGCTAGGCGATGACGGCCAGCCGCCGGCCCCTGCCCCTCTTGTTGTTCCGGGTGTAACTTGCACAACCTGTCAGCGTTCGTTTAAATCGGCTGCGGGTCTCAAGCGTCACCGTTGTGGAACCTGTCCAAAGCGCCTACTATGGCTGAACGCCAGCAATTCAAGTTTCACTGACAAGTTGCCACAACTGACGGTTCCGGAGGCGGCAAGATCTGGATCGCCACTTGGAGCATTGCCTTCCTCTCCCCCCCCCCCCCCCCCCTCTAACCTCTCTGACCTCTCTGACGGTACCTCCCATCTGGGAGCGGCATGGCCAATTCTGGCCGCTGTCAATAGTAGTAGTAGTAGTAGTGTGTGTGTGTGTGTGTGTGTGTGTGTGTGTGTGTGTGTGTGTGTGTGTGTGTGTGTGTGTGTGTGTGTGTGTGTGTGTTGACTTTGCGATTTCTCTCTCTTCTCTTCTCTCTTCTTGTCGTTTTCTCCCGCTTCTGGGAGCGGCGTGGCCCGATAGGGTAGCTGTACATAGTAGCATAGTAGCATAGTAGTGTGTATGTGTGTGTGTGTGTGTGTGTGTGTATTTATGTGTGTGCGTGTGTTATTACAGGTGCCCAGATCAACGTAGGTCGTCAACAGCAGCGCGCCACTGATCGCAACGTGACCATCAAGGGCACTTCCAAACAGGTCGGTAAAGCACAGGCGCTCATCATCGACGCCCTCGGCAACGACAAGGAGTTCGAAGTGGCGATGGGCGGATCTAGCCTCGCGTCTGCGTCGTCGCCCTACGTCGCCGCGACTGGCGGCAGCGGTACGAGTACCCAGACAGCGGGGAGTGCTTACGGCTCGTCTTCCGCCGGAACCACAACAACTGTGCCGCCACCAGTGGCTGATGAAGGGCTTGGCTCGGCAGCAGCAGCAGTCAGCAACGTTTCGTCATCGTCTGCCGGCGCATCGAGTGACACGATCGCTACCAGTTCTGCGCCAAGCCAAGCTGGAAGTGCAACGGATGCCGTCAGCACAGTCACCAGAGAAACAGCATCGTCATCGTCGGCGGTGTTCAAGCAGACCAGCAGCACGCTGTCGTTTGCGGCGGCAGTACGCCCGTCGGCGGCCGGCAGTGCCAGTGGCGGCGGCGGTGGTTCTGCACCACCCGTCGCCATGCCAGCACCTGCCGCCTCCACGTCAGCGCCAACGCATCTGCTGGTTGCCATGGCACCACCGACGGCACCACCCGCCACCGCCGCTACGGCAACAGCCACAGCCGACGGTAAAACGATCGGCTCGTTCGCCGACGCCGCGTCCGGTCGTCGCACTGTAGCTCTGCCCAAACCCGGCGCTGCCACGGCTGCAGCAGCAAATTCCACACAACAACAAAAGCAACAGCAGCAACAGCAACAACAGCAGGCCGGCCTGGCAGCACCCGGAGCCTCTTCCACGAGCAGCGCCGTGCCTGGTCCTGACCAGACAGCGTTAGTGTCGTCTTCCACAGCGACATCATCCGAAGTGTCCGCCCGACAATCCTTCCCATCGAGCGCCCCGTCGTCGTCGACTGTGCTGGCGCAAACGAACACAGGCCCGACACATTCGTCTCCGATTTCGTCCGCAGCGTCAGCAGCGGTACCATTGTCATCATCACAGCCAGCAGCAGCAGCAGCTCCTGTGGCTCTGGCTGCTTCGTCCACTGTGCATTCACATGCTAGCGTGGCCAGCCAGAGCACACTAACTCCGACTCCATCCAGCGTGCCAACAGTAGTGCCAGCAACACCACTATCCGGCCCCTTGACGGTATCTACAACAGCAACAGCAACAGCGGCAGCAGTAGCAGTGCCATCACCAACACCAAACTCATCGTTGCAATCAACGGCTGGCAGTCCACCACCACCAGCAGCAGCAGCACCAGCACCAGCAGCAGCGGTCGGTTCTCAGGGTAAACGTTTCGACAAGGAGAGCCGCGGGGAGCAGCGTGCGCGCCTGGCCCAGCTCACTAGCGGTCTTGAAGCGCCTCCTGCGAGCGTAACCGCTATGTCTGTGCCCGCCGCCGCCGCCGCTAGCAGCAGTGGCAGTAGCAGCAGTACCAGCGCTGTACACCAGCTGGATGCAAGCTCTTCAACACTGCTAATGACCGCGTCCGTCCCGCCAATTCTGCCGCCGCCGCTTTCCTCCGAACCCAGTATCGCAGCATCCATGCAGCCGGCTCTAGCCACATCGCGGGTTATCAGTCCCGTAGGCCACAGCGCACTGCAGCAGCAGCAGCAGCCTGCGCTGCACTCGGCTGACCCAACAAATCCGATCACCCGTCGCCTTGCTAACGTTGAGCTCGGCGGTTCGCTGGGCGTTTCGTTCGGTGACTCGTCGGGAGGAACAGCGCCTGCACCGGCATCCGCAACACCCGCATCCAGCATGGCAACCATCGAGTCGTCATCATCGGCAGCGCCAATCAGCTCTCCCGCACCTGGCATGAATGCCCCGTCATGGCACGCGCCACTTCACCACCAGCCTATACAGCAGCAGCCGCCTCACTATCATCCACAGCAGCAGCAGCAGCAGCAGGCGCATCATCATCATCAGAGCACATCGCGTGATATGCCCATTGGCGGTGCTATCGGCGCCTCTGGCATGGCAACAACCGCCGTAACCATGGGCGCACCTGGTCTTCAGCTGACCAGCAGCTCCGTTGGCGGTGACTCATCCTGGCAGCAGCAGCAGCACTCACAGCAACTGCACCATCACCCTCTTCATCATCCTCATCCTCTCCAGCAGCAGGCACAGCACACACAGCAGCATCATCTACATAACAACAACGTACAACACTGGATGCAAGGGCCGCCACGGCCGGGGCCAACCACCGCCACCGCGCTGCATGGTGCTTCAGTCGCCACGGCAACCGCCGGGACTGGCTCTGCAGATTTTGGCCGTGCCTTGTCGCACACCGTCGTCGGTGGCGGAGGAGGCAGTGATCTGGCTCAGTCGTCGCAGCAGCGCTACGGCAGTGCCATTCCGGGCGTGTCAATTCTCTCCGACCCTCGCTGGACTAACCAGACGCCGGCGGATCAGCCGTTCGACAGCGGCGCTGCTGGTGGTAGCGCTGGAGATGGCGACTCGGGTCCGCGTCACCTGGACGGCAGCGGCAGCGCTGGTAGTGCTGGCAGTGCCGGAAATGTGAGCACGGCGGGAAGCGTTGCTGGTACCGCTGCTACTAGTGCGGGGGGCTACGCGCACCCGTCACAGCGCCTGCCACCGCAAGCGCAGACCGCCTGGGGTCAGCAGAAGTCAGCAGCAGGAGCAGCGCCCATGCCGGGCAGTGGCACTGCGGCAGCAGCAGCGGCGGCAATCACAGGTGCGTCACCACAGTTCAGCAACCAGCAGCAGCAGCAGCAGCAAGACTCCAGCAGTGTTTCTAGCGCCGGGATTACATTACCAACGTTCCCAGCCGCTCCAGGCTTCAACATGCGCATGAGCGGTGCTGCCCCAGGGAGCAACACTGCTAGCTCCAGCAGTTCACAGCATGCGTTCGGCAGCCATGGGCCCGATCACATCCGCTTTGCTGCCTCTTTAGAGTCCTTGGGCGGTGCCGGTGCTGGTGGTGTGCATGTCATGCAGTCTGGCTCACGGAGAACTAACGCCACTGCAACAGCGTCTTCAGCAGCAGCATCGTCATCGGGAAGCTACTCTCGGGCCAGCGTCGGCGGCAGCAGCTCACGGCCACACACCGACAGTGGAATGCCCGGTTCTCGCTCGCTTCCTGATTGGTCACTGGGAACCGGTGCCGGTATGACGATGCCGGGCTCGGTGAAAGGATTCCCGCTGCACCCCGACAGTGCAACCGCGGCCACTATGATGTCGAGAGCGACGGGAGCAGCAGCAACGTCAACGCAAGCGTCAGCGGGCAGTCACATTGGCAGCCAGTTCATGCATGAGAACGCCGACTCTTCGCAACACATTCAACCGCCGTCTGGTTCGACACAGCAGCAGCACACGCTACACCATGCACCGAATGCACTCCCTTTCCTGCAGCAGCAGGGGCATCCGTCGCATCATCAACATCCTCTGTCTCACAGCAGTGTGGCACAAGGGGGTGGTGCGAATGTCGGCCGGCTCTCCCAGCGACCCGGATCACCACAGCAGCACCAGCAGCAGCAGCACACGCTGCATCACCACGCACAGAGCCAGCTGCCGTTCCTGCAGCAGCCAGGACAACCGCAGCACCATCATCCCCACCACCATCCACATCACCTGTCCCACGGCGGCAGTACGGTACAAGGTAGCGGCGCTAGTGTGGGCCCGCTCTCTCAGAGACCCGGCTCGCCACAGCAGCGGCAGCAGCAGCAGCAACGACAACAACTGTTCGGAGCTGGTCAACAGCAGCAGCAGCAGCAGGCAATGCATAGTGCTGTTGGTAATACGGGCAGTACAGCAATAGTAGCTAGCATGGATACTAACACTCTCATGGGACATCAGTCGCCGTACTTGCGAGGAGCCGGCAGCGCAGCGTCCAACGCAGACATGGTGGCCGCCGATTCGTTTCAGCGTGCCAGCGCCGTTGGTGGCTTTCCGCGCGCCAGCGCTATTGCAGATAACACAGCGAGTGGCATGGCTGGTGCTTCTTCGGGCAATGATCCTTCGTCACTGTCGTTCCCAGGTCAGCACCAGCCCTACCACCAGCCCGCGCAGGCGTTCAATCCTGCCGCTCTGGGCTCAGCGCCGGGCCCACAGGGAGGGCCGCCGCGTTCCAGCTTTCCGCAACTGTTCAATCCGCGCCGCTCATCTTCGCATTCGCAGCAGCAACACTCCGGCGGTGGTGCCAATGGTGGCGGGGCTGCTGGTGCTCCGCCGGTTCTCGGAGCCAGAACCATGCCGGCCGCTCCTCCAAGCGGCAGCAGCTCGGGCTCGTTTGGTGCAATTGGTAGTGCGTCGCCCTCGTTCCACCAAATGCACGGTGCCGCGCCAGCATCTTTCAGGCAGCAGCCGATGAACTCGGGAGCAGTCAATTCCGCCCATCCCATGCAGCAGCAGCAGCAACATCAAGCCGCAGCATCGTCGTCGTCATCATCATCGTTAGCGCAAGTGCCTCAGCAGCAGCAGGCACAGCAGCCAGGTTCCCAACCATCCCAACAGCAGCAGCAGCAGGGGCAGAAGCAGCAGCACGGCCAGCGGTCTTTCTCGCACGGCACACCAGCAGTGTAGCACTTTGTCGGCGGTAATGACGGCTCAATCTCGGACGGCCTCGCTATAGCTTCCGCTCTTGCTCTTATTCTTTGCGTCTCCTCTCTCTCTCTCTCTCTCTCCCTCTCTCTCTCTCTGTCTCTCTCTGTCTCTCTCTCTCTCTCTCTCTCTCTCTCTCTCTCTCTCTCTCTCTCTCTCTCTCTCTCTCTCTCTCTCTCTCTCTCGGTCTGTCTCTCTGTCTGTCTCTCTGTCTCTGTCTGTCTGTCTCTCTCTGTCTCTCTCTGTCTCTCTCTGTCTCTCTCTGTCTGTCTCTGTCTCTGTCTCTGTCTCTGTCTCTGTCTCCTCTCTCTCTCTCTCTCTCTCTCTCTCTCTCTCTCTCTCTCTCTCTCTCTCTCTCTCTCTCTCTCTCTCTCTCTCTCTCTCTCTCTCTCTCTCTCTCTCTCTCTCTCTCTCTCTCTCTCTCTCTCTCCTTCAAGGGATGTGTGCATATGATAAATTGTGCTTTGGTCCTATGCCCAGACCTTCGCTTAAATCTGCTCAGACCTCCGCTTAACTCTGCCCGATCCCAGCCCAGTCCCTTTCTGTCCGTCGTTGTTGTTGCTGTTGCTTTTTGTTCTTTCCCCCCATGCCAGAGTTGACATTACTGGTTCTAGCTTTGCTGCCAGTTCGAAAGTTTCGGTGATCATGCCACCGAACACTGCTAGCCTGCCGCTGTGCCTGTTATGATTTTGCTATCCTGTCAACTTTTGATTTTTACTATTCTGTCGAGAGCCTCCCCCGGTGCGAGTGTGTGCGCTCGCTCGCACACGAGGGGAAAATAGCTATGGATGCATGTATTCGAGAGAGAGAGAGCTGATGAGTACCACCGGTAGGTACTAAGTAGTTATCCCGCGTTGATATTATTTTGCCAATTTGGGTGAGCGCGCCACGGAGTGGTTTGATAACGACTCCCTGGTGTACGTGCCCGAGAGTTTTTGCTTTTTTTGTTTTTTTTGTTTCTCTTCATTCAGGATGGTTGTATGAATGCATAATGTAGTCTGCTGCGCGCACGCTCTCGCTTCCCCCCGCTCTCTCGCCGTTGCTTTTATTTTTATTTTCTTTCTCGGTCAAGCTCTTCCGTGTTGGGTCGTCATTGCGAACGTTCGACAATCTCTTTCCGTGTGCTCTGGTGTGGAGAGGGTGGCAGGCCGGAGATGGTAGCGGGGATGGTGGTGGTGTGGAGGGCAAGATGGGGATGATGCATGTGTGTGTGTGTGTGTGTGTGTGTGTGTGTGTGTGTGTGTGTGTGTGTGTGTGTGTGTGTGTGTGTGTGTTGGGAGGTGTTGTAACTGCCTTGTCCGTCTACTACAGGAGGTCAGGCGGGCGTGTCTGGCGCAATCATTGTAAGAAGGCAGAGTGATCAAGGATGCGGGGCCGTGTGCTGCCTCAAGCCCGGGCATGCAAGCGGGCTGTATTTTGGGTGGCTGCGGACTCAGCTGCGCTTGTTGCTGGCACAGCTATACACTGTTGACGCCATGTCACGGCTTTCTTCTGTCCTGTCTTTGCCTTTCCAGTTCCAGAAGTAAGGCATACTGCCAAGTAATGGCTTAGTTCTTGTCTTTCCATTATCTTAGTGTTGACAGTTTCGCTAGACTGCACTTCAGGACACACACTCTGTCCCCACAGGATACCGCGATTCCTCGGACGCGCAATTTTCCGCGTTATTGGCTGTCATCCGCGTTTTCGAGAGATTTTTGCATAAACCCGCGTTTTTCATGGAAATGTACAAGAAAATAGCACATGATGTTGAAATGTACTACAAAGTGGTACCGGTGCATGCGTTTGTACGACAAAGTTGTATACTTGCATGAAACTGCATGCTAAAGTTGTACAAATAACAGAGAACTCGTGCATAATGACCGCATAATCACCCGCATATTTGCCGCATAATGGCCTGTTTTCGCCCGCATAATTATGCGCATAATTTTAGGATTTCGTCCACGTTATTCTGTGGGGACAGCACCCGGTCTCACTAGGCGTGTTCTGCCTCCCTACTGTCTGCAGTCTACCAGGTATACTGCATTCAGGGAGTACGAGTACTCTAATTTCAGAAATTTTCGGTGCTCAATATTTTCGGTGCGAGGGCAAAAGGCCAGGTTAGGTGAACAGACATTTTCGGTACAGAGAAGCAGTTCCCTATTGGATTATGTGTGTTAGTGTTTGTTCGGTGTATTGAAATTTTAGGTATGAAACAGATGCACCGAAAGTACCGAAAATATAAGTACATTTAAAGAGTCGGCGTGGAGAAAGCAATTTTATTAGTGCAATTAGGAGTATAATCGATGCAGACATGGCCAGACAACAACGAGTTCATGGAATTTTTAAGGATTTTTATGTTATTCAAAATCGATTTTCGTGTTCCGCTCATCAGTGAATAGTATCGGAACTGAGGGTACTATGTACAACAATAGAACATTTTATAACAGCATAATTAATTAAAAGTGTGAACAACAAAGGAAGTGCTACAGCATTACATAATAGGTGTCAAACATAGTGCTAACGTATATAACTGAGTGCAGCCACAAAGCAAGAGGTGATACAGTGCAACATGACACAACATTTACATCTGATAACCAGCTACGAGAACAACTTTAGCGCGACTACTCAGTACATGCTTCTTTTGTTTACAAAGAACAGGATTATGCACACGAATACATACAGCTTCCAGAACCTTCAACTGCTTAACATAACTTGCACGGCACAAAACAGAAAAGTGAGAATCATCGTACACACCAAGACAATTGTGCCGTGCAAGTTATGTTAAGCAGTTGAAGGTTCTGGAAGCTGTATGTATTCGTGTGCATAATCCTGTTCTTTGTAAACAAAAGAAGCATGTAGTCGTGCTAAAGTTGTTCTCGTAGCTGGTTATCAGATGTAAATGTTGTGTCATGTTGCACTGTATCACGTCTTGCTTTGTGGCTGCACTCAGTTATATACGTTAGCACTATGTTTGACACCTATTATGTAATGCTGTAGCACTTCCTTTGTTGTTCACACTTTTAATTAATTATGCTGTTATAAAATGTTCTATTGTTGTACATAGTACCCTCAGTTCCGATACTATTCACTGATGAGCGGAACACGAAAATCGATTTTGAATAACATAAAAATCCTTAAAAATTCCATGAACTCGTTGTTGTCTGGCCATGTCTGCATCGATTATACTCCTAATTGCACTAATATAAGTACACCGAAAATTTGTGAAATTACAGTACTAAGGGGTCGTCCGTAATTATTGAAAAATTAAAAAATCCGTCCTCGTGCAAAATTGTCTCTGACCCCCCCCCCCCTCCATTTTTTCCCATTTATTATTTGATTTTTACCGATGCCCAGCTCGAAAATAAGAACTCCTGACCCCATGTTCACTGATTGCACCTACATGTACATGTACATGCATGTCAAGTAGCTACTACTAGTAGTAGTAAGTAATAATAATAATAATAATAATTTGAACAAACGGCGAGGAGACAACAATTTGATAACCGCAATCAGTAATACAAGCTGGATCGACATTTGTGTTTAGTGCGGCCAAGCTTGGCCGTTAATGTTCTAGGTGTAATGTACTGCTGTTATGTGTTATCACGTTGTCTTTCCTTCCTTTCTCCTTTGTTCATTTCTCGCTTTGATTGTTAAAATTCACACTTGTAAATTTCACTGTTGTTGCTCTTAGTGTTATTTCTCTAACTTAGATTTTCTATAATAGTTCAATTTTTGTTTCAGTGTCCTTTAGTACAACGACGATTCCTGATGAGTGTTGTACGAAAACTTGTTTGAATCCCTTTCTTTCTCTACACAATTTCTTCACATTTTTCATCGTTTTATTGCACATTGTCTCCACAGTTTTACAATACATGAATACAGTGTACACAAATGTCGATCCAGCTTGTATTACCAAGAGTAGATGTTTATCTACTCTTGGTATTACTGATTGCGGTTATCAAATAATAATAATAATAATAACTTTATTAGGATGACCCAAAGGCTGACTGCCTATCGTGGGGTCCGTCGCATTAAAAGATGATGGAGTAAAGTGAGTAGGAGGTCTACCGAAGGCCATGCACGTCCTACAACTACAAAAAAGTCATGTACCGGTATCATACTGGTGTTTGCGATCCTACACTACGTCTACAGTGCACTACATCATGTCAGTGCAACGAGTGTATGAAAGTCACTGATGAAAAAAAAGTACAAAAAACAAAAAATTAAATTCCGCCAGCGCTCTTGACCACCCACCACCCCCTTTAAGCTTTTCTTTCTGCCTGAGGACGGATTTTTAATTTTTCGAAAAATACGGACGACCCCTAAAATACCGGTATTCTAGTCGAGTTATAAATATAATAATTATTATTATTACATGACACGTGGTAGGCTCCGGCGGATTATGCTCGCGAAATCATGGAATTATGCTTTCATGGATTCTCGCATTATGCTCGCAAAGTCCTCATATTATGCTTTGGCACGTGGGGATACATATTCACTTTGTTGCACTTATGGAGCCTCAAACTTCGGAAAATTGTGCCTTTTCGTACTTGCAAGTGGCCATTAGTACAACAAAATACATGAATATCCCCATACCATGCATGCTAGAGATCAACATGGAAAGGAGAAAACATGACTTCTTCTAATCATTAGTTGATCTCTTTTGTTTTTCATTGCCAAATTATTTTGAGTTACCTTTGAAAACTATCATGTTCAACTGGCTTCGTAATCATCATACTCGTCCAACCGATGTCACCCTCACCCTGGGAATAATCAGATCATCTCTCCCGTAGCTCCACCTCTCCTTCCACCTTGACCGAACATCAACTATACCTCATTTGTTTAATTATTAGAGCAATACCCATAGCTTGAACAGTCGATGGTCTCCTCCAGCGCGCTTCTTTGCACACCTTTGCTGAAAAGTTGCGAAGTAGTTTTTTTGTGAAAATGAAGAAAGTTGCGATTTCTTCCAAAACAACGGAAAGTTGCGAAAAAAAAGTGGCGAGCATCTTTGGAAAAGGGCTACTCCGAACCCTTTACCATGCAGGCCACCAGCACTGATCAGGTGCATTGTACACAATTGTGTAGCTTACATACTAGAATTGTGGTACAATCATGTAGTTATGCTCCTATCTCCGAAAGGATGCCAAATTATGCTCCAAATTTTCAACCACCAAATTATGCCAATAATTATGCCGGCATAATCCGCCGGTGCCTAACACGTGGTCGTTGCCCATGTTAGGCCACGCCGTTTTTTCTATGTTTCGCGTCACCTTATTCGATGAAATCAATGAGGGAAGGCGAAAAAAATAAAAAAGCCATTCAAAAAAACAGTGTACATGTACGTGCATTGCGTTTTTTCATGTACATGGACACACACATGCATACATGTACATGAATACATGAGGGTATCCCCTTTGCCATGCTTGTGGCCCAAACACAGGCGGTATGATGATTGTGTGACTTGCGGGCCAGCTTATTGCACACACATGTACTTCTCGAAGTACATGTACATGTGTGTGAGCTGAGTTACATTTTCCGGTTTTCTGGGTTTGCATTAAATTTGTATTGCATTTTCAAAAAAAAATTGTTCCGTTTTTTTGCACTCCGGCTGTGAAATACATGCGCACGGTACAGGGGACGCGAAACATAGATAAAAAACGGTGTGGCCCAGAAGGGTATTTTACGACTCCCTGGTGTGGCCTTATGACCAATACCAAAAGTATATAACTCCCCAAGAGTGTGCAACTCTGCATATGGGGTCTCCGACGGCGAAAACTCACATCACGTGTCTCTGTTACGTACAAACGAAGGATAGCGTGCGCGCAATCCAAATATCTGCCACGATCATGCTGGGGATTTGAATACCCGCAGTGAGTTTCTGTCAGAGAGTTCTTTTTTTATTGCTCCACTGCTCGCTAAAAACGGGCTGGAAACGTACAACTGCGACACTGCACCACGTCCACGTGACGTGAGTTTTCGCCGTCGGCGTACCCCATATGCAAGGGTATCAGGAGTTGCACACTCTGGGGGGGGGGGGGGGGGGGGGGTTATACACATAATAATTATAGCTCATCCCAATAGGTCTGGCACGTCGAAAAACTCCAGGAATCCGCGATTCCGCGGTAAAATCCGCGGAATTCATGTTTTTTTAAATATCCCGCGGAATTCACAGTTTTCACCGCAGAATCGTGAAAAATCACGGTTTGGGGGGCAATGCGAGCATGCGCTTCATATTCATGCACATGCACAGTGCAGTGTCCTGTCGCTATTTTTGTTGCATTCAAAGTCGGATGTGCATGATGTGCAGGTGCAATGGACAGTACAGCAACTGTACCAGTTTTCTTCGTTACTGTATTGAGCCTATCGTGTGTTTTCGACCACTAATTTTTGTATTGATGCATATAGCCATGTCTTTTCTCTGGTTCAGCGCCGCAGAAATACCGCAGTATTAGAGAGGTTCTGCACAACGAAAATTCGAACGAAGTTTCGCGACAGGCCTTAAATGTGTACGAATTTTCGCACGAACTTTGTGTTCTGCACATTTTCGTAGTTTGCACGCGCCAAGTGCACGTACGACATGACCCAATCTCACGAAACTTCCTACGAAAGTTCATTTCGCGTTCCCTGCAAGTTTCGCGTCCAAAGTTGCGAAAGTTCGTGCGAAGTTTCTCACTTCGTGATGTAGAGCGAAAGTTCGTACACATTTTCGTTTTGCAGAACCTCTCTAATGCCTCAGAATTCACGCTATCCGCCGCATAATGTAGCGATTTGTGCCGCAGAACTCTGCGCAGAATTTGGAGGGACAGGTTGCAGTACTCCTGCCAATACTATAGGCATGGCCTTCCCGCCTCGGGCGTAATCAACCCATCAGGACCGATTGACTTCATTTTTAGAAATTTTCTAAAATGACGTCAATCGGTCCTGATGGATTGGTTAATGATTATTGGACATTTCGGCCTTTGCCGGGCGGTCAAAATGTACTAATTTACATATACTATTATTTTGAATGCATGTACCCGCCAAGTGCTCTAAGCACTGAGGTATGGTATAGCTGTCATCCCAGCAGAGACCGTTCAACGTTTTCTTCAGACTTCGAAACGCACACTTCCTGTGAATCCGCACAGGCGGGTGGGACGCAGCCCTCGCCGTATCCCACACACTTCACGTACAAACCGGTACCAGCACATGGGGCGCTCCAATACATAAAAAAATCAATAACTATTCGTTGGTTTGAGGGAAACACGCAGACGGGAAAAGTCTGAAGTAAAATATAACTGTCACCACCAGGACTCGAACCAGGGACCCTCGCTTGTAGCCAGCGATGCCCTACCACTAAGCTATGGTGAAGTCACATCCAAGCAGCGACCGTTCAAAAAATTTCTTCAGACTTGGAAACTCATGCTTCCTGTGAATCCACACACGTTGGGGGGGGGGGGGGGAGGGGGGACGAAGCCCTCGCTGTAACCCACACACTTCACTTTTAAAAGATTTCTATAAAATTGTGTCTGCTCAGTCTGCGGACAAAACTGTATAAAATTACTTCAGTATGTCTAAACCTTAGTGGAATATGGAGCGAAAGGTATACTCTCATTATCTATAAATAATTATTATTACTTGTCGCATCAGTACAATTAAAATAATTTTGTCACGAACAGAGTTGAAATTGAAAAATAAAAGGAAGCAAAGAGTTTCAACAACAATAAATAAATAATTTTTAACTGGCTGCTTGAGGTATCGTCGGTGTGCGTGAGGCCATTACCGAAAAGTATGCCATGTTGCTTGGGGGGAAAAGAGGGTGGGACCATGCCTAGTTCCCTCCCCCCCCCCTCTCATACACACACACACACACACACGCTCGTTCACATAATGGACAAACAGCTGGATGTATTTGCCCATGAGTAGCCTCCTCCAAACCACTGAACATCGACCGACTAGGGCGGGACAGGCGTCCGTCCAGCTCGTAATCGCTTCACGACAGGCTTGGGTCTGCGTTGCCACAGACCATAGACGGCATAGACCATGGACGCCATAGGCCATGAACGGCAAACAATGTAGGCCATGAACGGCATACAATGTAGGCCATGAACGGCATAGACCATAGACCATGGACAATGGCACAGCCTTGAGCAGCAGCAGCAGCAACACTAGCTGATCTGCTGTGGAAAACTTACTTGGCTTAGTACTAGCAGCGTCTGAGGGGGGTCAGTGTTCATATCACGGCTCACGGCTGTGCTGATGATGAGGATGCGCAGCAGCAGGCAGCAGGCAGCAGGGAGCAGGGCATGTGAACACTGTCTAGGACACGTCTACAGATTGCTATACCCCTGCTTGCCATACTTGCAAAGCACAAAGTTGAAGCCATCCTGGAGAACACGACGACAACAACAACAACAACAACGACGACGACGACGACGACGACGACAACAACAACAACAACAACAACAACAACAACAACGACGACAGCAGCAGCAGCAGCAGCAACAACAACACCTCTTATTGGCCACTGGCTATCGTGAGAATAAAGATTTGAACAACAACAATAACAACGATGATTACAACAGAAATACCAGCAGCACCCGTACACCCGTACATTGATGCTTTGCCCGAGGTGACATTGCGGTGCTCTTTTTCTGAAGCTACTCCGCTGTTTGTCGTTCACAGGTCCAGCTGTCTGGATGCGCAACAAGGAGTCCGCTACTCTTCTTCAACCACTCAATCAGAATATCTGGCCATGATGGGCCTAGGTCCAGCTGTCTGGGTGTGCGGCAAGGAGTCCGCTACTCTTCTTCAACCACACAATCAGAATATCTGGCCATGATGGACCTCGGTACGAGTGATGGTACTTCTGCTGAAGGTGAGATTTCTACATGTACTGTCACGTTGTTTTGTTGACAGTATGTTACAAGGCGGAGGACACACTGTTTGTGCTTGAAAACAGTGCTCCTGACCACAACCATCATCGGTTGGTTGGCAGAGCCCTGGTCTTGCCACCATTCGAACCGTATAGGGTCCGAATAGTCGCAAGACCGGGGCTCTGCCAACCGTGGATGGTTGTAGTAAGTAAGGAGCATTGTTTTCAAACACAGACAGTGCGTCCTCCGCCTAGCGCCTTGTAACATGCTGTCAACAAAACAACATGTTTTCAACCACAGCAAGGCTTGTCTGATACTGTACACTCATGTACAGTTGTGGCAAGTGAAATCCGACACTTGGCATAAGGGACTGCACCATGCAGTCTGCAGCCCCTGCAGCCCTGCCTGCCTGGCCCACGTACAGTTCATGTGTTACATACAACTGTATCTGTCTGATGACAAAACTCGTGCTCATCACAGTCAAGGTTCAAAAGGTGCTGGCAAAAATGAATGGGGATTGGATACCAATACTCCGTATGTGTACCTCGTTTGTGAACTGTGTGTATCTACGCTGTGACCTTTCGATCTGTTTGGGATGCATACGGCTCTATTGGGTGCAGTGCATTACATCATTGGTGTCCATTTGTGGTGCTGTCTAGGCTTGTCCACAAAATGTTTTCAATTATTTTTGAATTTTGGTTGGATTTTCGCACAATTTTGGCCCCACCAGGATTGAATTTTGGCCGTTTTTGGAGAACGACAGTGATGTCACATCAGGAGAGTACATGTGCTGCTCAATATACATGTATTACCAAGTTTGACATGTGAAAACAGTACTTTCAAATACATACACCTTTGACCTTTTGACACCCATCCCCGAATTTGGAAGCATGCAGCACACAGACACACATGATAAGCAGTTTGTGGATTTTTTGTTTTTGTAACTATTGGGTACGAGTACTGTAAAAACCATGGCAACGGATCAAATTTTTCTGCATTTTGGGGGATTTTTTGAATTTTCTCAAAACATTTTGACCGTTTTTTTCGCTTTTTGAATTTCAATTTTGGACAAAATAATTCGCATGATGTGGCCACCCTTAGTGCTGTCCCCTATGGCAAGTGTCGGATTTCACTTGCCACAACGGTATATGGGCTGAGATCTCCCCCCCCCCCCTTGACCTTGCGCATTCATGGAGTGTCGACGTTTGATCGGTTTTCCTCCGATTCGTGCCTGCATTTCACTAACGTTGCTCCCTGCTAGAAATTACCACCAAGAATATCAGCATCAGCACAAGCAGTACGAGAGAGCTTGGAAGCTCACGGCCCTACGCTATGCTTTTTTGCCTATCCCATCATGCATGTTATTAGAACTGTTGGAAATGTTTTTTCCATTGATTGGGTACATCATTGTATTGCAAAAACGTTTCAATCAGTTTGAATGTGAGTTAGCCTCAGTTAGGCAAAAGTTAAAAAAAATTCAATGCTCCTTTTTTTTAAGACATAAGGCCACACGTTTTTATTTCTATGTTTCTCGTCACCCGCGCGCATACGATTCAGGAGTCTGGAGGAAAAAAAGAAAAAAATGTGCTGCACTGACTGTGCATGTGGGGACCAGCACACTCATGCACATGTACATAATGTGGCCTGGCCTGCGCGACACATGATGCGAGGTCGCCATTTTTTGTGCGCAATCTAGCTGCACATGCACAGCTTGTGACAGAAGCTCCTACCACATACTACAGTCCATTCATAAAGAGATGGGCCCTGGCTCTGGCGAGCTCCCGTATTTGGCGATTTTTCGTGATTTCATCGTACACATGTACACAGTGCAGTGCTGCGAACTTTGAAATTTGAAAGAGGGTCCAAAAAGGTACCTGAACTGGGGTTCGAACCGCACAACGCACTGTTGCAGGCGGGGTCAAACGGCCTGGATGTTGATGGTTTTTCCCGATTCAGTGCTTTTGGGGCAAAACCTGGCCGAAATCCTATTCTTGCTATGGCTTACTTTTTGGACAAAAAAAACTTCAGAAACATATTTGGAAGAGGATTCCATAGGGGATCCGATGGTAGAAAAAATTCTAAAAAAACTCAAAGTTTGACCCGTTTATGGCCAAAAGCTAGAAGTCCATCTTTTTCTGAATGGACTGTAGTTGCCAACTATGGATGCTATTTTGCATGGTGTATTGTTTTATTTTTCGGTCATTTTTTATTTTTTTTCCACCTCTCGCATACGTTTTTAGATTTTCAGGCGACGAGAAACATAGAAATGAAAACGTGTGGCCTAACCTGGGATTCGAACCCGCACTATCGCCCTGCATGCATGGATTGGATTGGATTTTTATTTATAGTGGTGACTATAACAGACAATTGCCTGATAACAATAGACCCACTCGAGGGAAAGATGCAAAAAGATATGATTCCCACGATACACTTCGCACACCTACTACATACTCATTCTTTTCGATTTTGACAGCATGTTACAAGGCGAGGACGCGTAGTGCTCCTGACTACAACCATAACCCGGTTGGCAGAGTCCCGGTCTTGCGACCATGTAACATGCAGTCAAAATCGAAAAACATGTTAAACTACCAAGCAAGGCTTCTGTGTATATACCATACGCATTCTTCCAAGTTGCTTCATGTTATGATCTTGCATTTGAAAGCCCTCTTTGAATATTGTGGCCAGCTGTCTTTGATGGTACGGTACGGGATAGCGCCAGGCATGCCGACGGCACAAACACACACAAACACGGAATTAAAGCTGTGTGGACCCTGGCTAGCGCCAGACGTTACTGAAGTAACGTCTTTTGCATAGCAACGGGAATTAAAAGACTTTTAAAGAGCCGCATCCCCCCCCCCCCTTCCCCACAATGCAGCACTAAAAGTAGAGGGTCAGACTTTCACACACACACGCACGCACACAAACTCGCAGAGGAAATACCTTGATCAAGCTGGGTAGCTCAGTCCAGAAGACCAGGTTGGGCACAAGGTCTGAACCAGTTCTTTGACGGGCATAATGGTTGTAGAGCGCACCGCCCATAAAGTACGCCAGTACTGTCACACAGAACCTGACCACCAGGCACATGCATACAACATACACTCAAATAAGGAGCTACATACACACACCACGCACAGTCAACCAGCCACCCTGTCAACAACAATCTCAGATATCTACCGTATTTTCCAGAGTGTTAACCGCACCGGGGTATAAGCCCCCCCCCCCCCCCCGCATTGGGTGTGAACCTGACCGGGGTATAAGCCCCCCACCACACCGGGGTTTGAGCCTGACCAGGGCATAAGCCCCCCTCCCCTTCAGGCCCAAAGTTGGTTCTTTTCGTGGCATTCAGTGTAAGAGTCGACGTCAGACTTTCAATTGTTTGGTCGTTCGAACTCAGCATTACACTGCATGGCATATCAGTTCAACTCATGGTCGTATTGTGGAGATGGTGTCTTGTCCGTAGGTCAAACCGACATACGACACTTACACGCATTGCACGATGTGCAGTCAATCCGTACTCAGTATAGATCATATTCGATAACGTGATTTTTGGACTCGCCTCCAGGGATTTAACGTAAGCTAGGGCACGTGTACGAGAAACGAGTGGCAAGAAAGGCTCAGTTCGTACAAGGGAGTAGTAAAATACCGGTGTTTTTCTACTCCCATGTTCGCACGCAGAGTCCGCTGTGCACTGAGCGCAGGTCTCTTGCCACTCCCTGGTTCCCGGGACACCGGTTCACGTGATTGTGACGTTCATCGAGTAAGGTCTATACCTTCGAGGTCCACACAAGAACATGCTAAGGAGGCCTTTACATGTATATGTACACTGAGGGCGCGTTTGGTTGGTACGAACTAGAACAGGATTCACCAGAACAGCGCGTTTGGTTGGGACTGCACCTGTTCTGGGTCGGCCAGAACATGTTCTGCTTGCTCCGGCCTCGAGGCCGGAGCAGACCGAGCAGTTTCACTTTTTCACAGTGAAACCTGGCGGGAACATCGATTTTGGTCCCAAATGATCACGTGCATACGCTTTTGGGTTGGACTCGTTGTACCGTACAAAGTGACCATGGTGACCCATACACATTTTCAAGTTTCACACATTTTTCCACGAAAATGTGCTCTGTTTCTGGAGTACCGTTTGGTTGGCATGAGGCTGCTCCATGTGCACCAGCTGTTCGATCCTGTTCTAGATCGTACCAACCAAACGCACCCTAAGGTTTTCACACCGCACACATGTGTTTTGCACTCTGCCATACAAGTAAGTTCCCTTTCCCGGCCTGTCAGATCAAGGTGGGTCGCTCTAGCGGTACGTTTTTAAAGGTGCATGCAAGACGTTACCAACCAATAGTTCAAACATTGGGCAGCACGACTTATTTCATTTTATTTGTTCAACATCTCCTGGCTCGTCGTAAGACTGCCAATATTTATGAGAGGTCGGGTGGTAACCAACCACGGCGAACTAAATGATAAGGAGAGAAACAAAGGAGAGTACTGCAAGGAGAGGCATGACGAAACTTTTATGAAAGTTTTAGCAAATGTTTCCTAGCTCTTCTTTCACCGTGACCTGGCCAGAGACAACATGTAGAAGTTGTGCACATTTGCAATGATGGATTAATTTATAGTGCATGAAAGCAGTCGAATGACACCGTACTAAGAGTAGATAATCGCCAAGAGTGTGCAACTGCCTGCACAACCTCTGTACAGTGCTGCGACGGCAGAACTCCACATCACATGGCACGGGTTCAAAAGGCTACGCTGGCAAACAGTGCCAAGTGAGCACAAGAGAGTGGAACCCAACGCAGGGTTGTACGTGTATCTATCATGTGCAGGGTGCAAATAATGTGTGTGTGTGTGTGTGTGTGTGTGTGTGTGTGTGTGTGTGTGTGTGTGTGTGTGTGTGTGTGTGTGTGTGTGTGTGTGTGTGTGTGCGTTCATCACGTGATGTGAAGTTCTGCCGTCGCTAGGCCTGTCCGGATTATGTTTTTGCATAATATTTTTCGCATTTTGGGGTTTTTTCAGCTTTTTTCAACATTTTGAGCATATTTTGCAAACAAAATGATCGATTCCTTTCGACTATCGAAAACAACCACATCCTTTGCACAGGCTTCCTCCATGTGCACTTAGAACGACAAGGGGTTCAAGTTTTACGCCATTTTGGTTGCCATGGTAACGGCAGCATAATTTTCGCATTTTGGGAGAAATTTTGAATTTTTTAAAGATTTTTTTAGCATTTTGGGTGAATTTCCAAAAAATAAACATTTCCATTTTGACCCTTCAAAAAACGCTTAATCCGGACAGGGTTAGCCGTCACAGACCACATAGCTGGAGTTGCACACTCTTGGCGATTATGCACTCTTGACCATCACCATACTGTAAATCTACACAATTTCGGCGCGTTTAAATTTCAGCCTCCCCGGGCCAAAACACATTTGGGCATGTACGGTTGCTGCCTGTGTACTTTGTCACATTGAGGAGTGAATGATATTAGTTCCGCGGTCATGCCACACAACATCTTTGCTATCATTAAATCATTGTCTCTACGTCGCCTTTTTGCATACTGAACCTTGCAAAAAAATTCTGCCAAAAATGGCCAGGCCGAAAGTTGCTGAAACGTTGTTAACCATACCCATAAGCTACATAAGCCGTTCACTTACAAGATGACCAGGATAGTACCCAAGCTGACTGATACCTTCACGTGGACCCTGTTCGGCTCGTGATGGGGCGTGGAGCCAGTCGGGATCGGCCCTGTGGTGCTCGGAGCCGGCGGTGTTGTGACGCAGGCTAGAGCGGTGCTCATTTCCAGATTCTGAAACACACACACACATAATATACATGTGCGTGCATGCACACACGCACACACACACACACACACACACACACACACACACACACACGCACACCCACACACACGAGTTTGAAGTGCGTTTCGCGGCTGAGCAGTGGTGCCGCACGGCATTTACACAGAGACGATGACGAGAATCAGACAGTGCATAGTAGGTGTGCATTTCTTTTTTTCCTTTAAAAAAATTATTTATGGCATCAGCATCCTCGCCTCATGGTTCATTCTCACAGGCAATACAAACTCATACTATACAATCCCTGTCAGACGAGATGAAAACGCCAAACCATGAACAGCTCATTGGTAACTGTTGTCCTATTCCAGAGTGGGACCACCATGCCATCCAGAGTGGGACCACCATGCCATCCAGAGTGGGACCACCATGCCATCCAGAGTGGGACCACCATGCCATCCAGAGTGGGACCACCATGCCATCCAGAGTGGGACCACCATGCCATCCAGAGTGGGACCACCATGCCAAGGTCACAATGAAAACAGCTACATACCCAAACTCCTGTGTTGTTCTGCCAAGGAAAATGCTGACTGATGATGGGGAAAGCATGAAACTTTCTTTATGCTAGATGGGCGTTTGCCAGGCCCCTTTTCCGAACAGACTCCGCATCCTAATCACCTGGAGACGGCTCCGGCCACAGAGAGGTGTGGACAATAGGCGTTCTGCAGATACGTGCGTATGGGGTTTTAAAGCAA